ACTGGAAAGCCTCGAGCCCAGAGCTGGCTGCTAGCGATGTAAAGTCAGATTTGGGGGATTAGCTGACAATGCTGCGTGAACAGAAGTGGTTGGGAAGTCTTCAAATCTGGCTCGCAATCAACACCTTTAAGGCTTCGGTGATGGCCATTACCGCCGTAGTGTAGCCGATCATCATCACGACATGTGCGCATCGTTAAATAGAGTAGCACAAGGTTATGATCAGGTTGTCTTGGTCGTAGAGAATATTGAGATGAGCCTGTTGCCGAAATTGCTACGCTGGTAGTCGCGCACCATCGTCGCTTGTACGACTGTGCAATGCAAAATCTGATTCTACTACCCTTCGCGGCGCTATAAGCCCTATGTAGTTCTACTCTGGAGCGACCCGTCATCACTCCGTCAGAGCATCACCACCAACAACAGTCGTGACTTCCGGATGCACGGTCGTAGATACGAGCCTCAGCCGTACGTATCCCAAACCCCTAACCCACGGTCCTGAAGCCAGAAACGTACAGCAACAAAAAGCGAGCGCCTAAACCCTAAACCCTGCAACCCAACACCCAACGCCCTACATTCACAAGCTCTAAACACCAAGGATGGTACTTACAGATGACCAGCAATAACTGGTCTCGGACACACGAGAAAGACACGGACACCACCACATTGGCGTACGGAGTCAAGGCCCGACGCGTTTTGGGAGCATTTGGGAATTCGGAAAGTAAGGGGCGTGAAGATAAAGCCATCAGGAAGAGGGTCCTTGTAGTGCAAGGGCACAGAAATCCGCAATCGAAAGGATATGTGTTGGGACTTCTGAAGTTTGGCCTGCGAGATGTGACAGCCACGGGAAGACTTTGGCGATAGCTAAGGCTTCGCTGGGTTCAGAGGTTCAGGAGCGGGCTGCTACGCTTTGGGGTTGAGGGGAAGATCACAGCATGATGCCAGGAGATGTTGCAGCGCCAGAAGTTCTTGCAAGCACCTGTGCCGGGAGGGAAGTCAGAGACGGCTAGTACGGACCATGCAGAGCAATCCTATTGTGGTCCCTTACAGTCCTCCCGCAATTATGGTATAGTGTGCCCCAAAGCCTATCTTAAAAATTCAGGCCTCAACATTGACTTTGTGGGTTGTTCTCCCACTGACAAGATCAGGAGATTGTAGTCTGTTCCGCGACATGTCCGTCTCTATTTCCTTGGCTACAGTTCTACGATCTGCCGGAACACAAGTATGCAACAGACCCATCCAAACCCTAAACTCTTTGCCGTGCAGACAGGGAAGGTGAGCTTTGCCTCAGCACAAAATCATAAGGACCCTTAGGGGGGTAGAGGGAGGAGGGTCGGAGGCCTAAATACCCGTGATAAGGAATTATAGGGCTTTCTCAAGGAAGTATAGTCCCTCACCCCCCTCCCCCTTACTCCCCAAAGGGTCCCTATGACAGAAGAGTGTCAGGAAATCAGGGACCCTGATGCCCCTGAAGGTCAGGATCCTCCTTGTAAGGACCGACAAAACGGGGCACCCCTAATTCAGGAAAGCCCCCAAAGGTGCAAACCCTGAAGTGGACTAAACGATGAACCCCAAACTCCCATACCCGAGGAAGTCATCACGTGACCTCGCCGCAGTTTCGTTTCAGGCTAAGGGTTCTCGGTTCAACGATTGGAGTGCTTTCTGCATTTGAACTACAAGTTCCCGATCCCAAGACTTTTAAAACCCTCTAGGTCTCGAAATCGTAAACCCGGCAACACTAGAGCTTGAGACCCTGCAGACACCATGGGCTGTTTGCCTTCTCTGCCTTCTCAGACTACGCGGCACTGGAAGCTTTGACTTCAATTCACTTAGCTTCATTCCCATACTATCAGGGCCCTAGTGGTTAAAACAGGGTTCCATTTAAGGGTTCCTTGAAAGCCGTGACGGGTGCGATAAGGTTTCTATAAGGAAATCTATGATCCAGGGGCCGCAATTAGAATGGGGTAATGGGGTATATCCTCGTGTAATGATATTGGGAAAAAGGCAATACGATTACTATTTCTTCAGACCCCTACCTTACGGCTGCGGGGTGCTATACTGATTTGTTATCTGTCACATGTGCTTCTTGTAAGAGTCATATGTCGTTGTGTTGACTTGTTTGAAGGGGAGTAAAGATTCATGCATATCGACGCAAGGCCGGAACGCGCCAGCCCGAATTATTTTAACCCCCGGAAATCCCCAAATCCCGGCCCAAACAGTGCTGCCACATCGTTTCAGGTCACCTGGCGCATCGCCGGGTGAGGGCCATGGAGCATGATGAAAATTCATTGGCTTCGTCATACGATTTTTTCCAGTCTGTTTATTTTGAATCACCACACCCGATTAGACGATCTCATTAAGATCTCCCCATTGTCTCTTGAAAAGAGACCTGTTTTTGCGTTGGAGTTGGAGGCATGGTCTCAGGCTCAGCTCAGGCTTCAGCTGTTCAGATACGGTCACCCAACTTCATCTTCGACTACCTATTTGCGCATCCTTCTGTCTGTCCGACTGTCCAGCTAGCTTTCTATCCAAGTCTCGCTCATGACTGCATGTATGTACATACCTACGTATGTACGTGGGTACGTAAGATGTACACATGTGCAAATACACAAAGCGTGTGTGCCCATGTGCACAGCCGGTGTGTGAGAGAGCAGGTTCCACATATAGGATGCGGGAACATGCAGGATGTAGGTAGTTCGTCCTCAAGAAGAAAGCCGAGGCTGAAATCTTCACTTGTTTCTGCTCCTTTTACGATAATATTGGTTTAATTAGGAGATCAGGTCCTAGGGTATAGTGAATTCAAAATCATTCAAAATCCAACATTCCTCTACTGCTCCATTTCTGGTCCGATGTGGACGCTGCTGTGAGCTGCGAGCCCCAAAGATGAGGGTTCTGAGCCTCGCCATGCCCCCATGTTTCACAGCAACGGCTTGGCTAAGAAGACAGCCTCATCAAGCTTTGAAGCAGTGCGGGTGGGAGCTCGGAGAAGCAATTCTGACGGTTTGGGGGGGGGGGGGAAGTCTCCAGGGCTACACATGCTCGTGAAGGACTTTCATTGTGGTCAATTAAGTTTGTTTTTATTTTATATATGTATGTATGCATGCACGGATACATGGATGTATGTATGTATGCATGGATCTATGTATGTATGTATGTATGTATGTATGTACGTACACACATACATACATACATACATACATTCATACATACATACTTGCATACATACATACATACGTACATACATACATACATACATACATACATATAAACATACATAGGCATTTACTATGATTGTCGCTATTCGTAATTATTGGTATTGTTGTTATTGCCCTGATCACTATTGTTGTTGTTCTCTTGTTATGTTGATGATTAGTTTATTGCTGTTTGTATTGTTGTTACTCATTTGTCATTAATATTAGTATTATGATTGTTACTCTTACTGTCATTATGATGATTAAATACGCTTATCTGTGTTGTTACCAGTATTATTATCACTATTACTACGAGTTTACCTTTATTGTCATTCGTTTTCGGATTTAACTATTGCTATTGGTACTACTACTATCACTACTACTACTACTACTACTACTACTACTACTCCCACTACCGCTATTCATATAGTTATCAACTTTGTTATCAGCAATGGTATCACTGTTAGTGCACATCCCTCAGATATCCATGCCTTCATCCCGCTATCCCACTCGGAGCTATGCTCTGCGTCGTCATGTTTGTTGCGTCATCCTGCAGTCACACAGTTAGGAGCACACTTTCAGCTGAAGGTCGTGTCGGGGTGCATCGCACTGCTGTCTTTAATGACATGGACAATGACTGACAGCACCATCGGGATTCGACTGCCCAAGCTCAAGATGTACCGTCTGTTTAGCAGTTTAGCATTCCGCATTGCTACGCAGACTCGGCAATCTACTGGTGGTTCCTGGCCTTCGTTCGCAGACAGGTTCCACTTCTGAGATTTCAGCAAACCAACACAACAACACCCAGCGACCGACCCCCCTCATGGGCTTCAGTCATTCCTTTGCAGGATCCAGAACGTATAATTTGTCCCAATCGAGAGAAAGAGCCCCTAGTTGGGGTTCACCAAACCCTAAACCCTGAACCCAAACATGTCAGCCCAGCACAGGAGCTGGCTGCAGAAGTATCCTGAGCTCTTTCAAGTCTCCGGTCTGCCACGCAGCTGATCTTAGTCCTTTTCGTATTTGGGTGGGGTCTCAAAACCTGCGGCGTAGAATATTGGGAACTGGGCCCTCATAATGAGGATCCTAGAAGTTGGGGTCATCTTTGGGTCTTTGATTTTTGAAGCTACTTGTCTTTCACCGCCCTGACACTGCACGCCTGGGGTAGATAGACCGTGGTGATGAGTTGCGACATGTAGTCTTTTTGAGTTGTCTCTTGTTTTCTTCACCCTGATATTCAGGGTGAAGAAAAACTTGCCATTCGGCAAGAACGGACGCATTCGGCCATCTGAGTCTGTACGGTTTGCGACACTCACTAGGGTAAGCTACCCTTGAGCAAAAGACTGCAGATCAGGGTCCCTAGGAGGGCCTTATCACAGCAGTGACCTTGGCCTACACATACACACCAACCGAAAAAAGGCCATCCATTTTTGAGAACTACCCTAGCGAGCTATCCTCTTCCCTAAACCCAAAAGCCAAACTTCATCAAATCCGGAACGCTTCGAGGCCTGGAAAGGAAAGCGTCACGCTTTTGATCCTGGGAGGTGGCATGCTCCTGGTCTTGCCGGATCTTTTTACATATTTATGGGTTGCGTGTGTGTAGGTTGTGGGTTTAGGACCTTGCGGTTTAGCTCGATGCTAAGCTGGGCTTAGGGCTGCACTATGGATCCTATGGAATGCTGAGCGAGGGCGCTCGCGGCTTCGGACTTTGAGGCTTGGCCTTGAGGCTGCCAAGTTGGGGCAGCGAATGCGGAAGGCCTTTCTCTCAGATCTTGTGAGCACCACCAGTATGGGCGCCCCAAAGCTGTTGAGGTCTATGTTACAGAGCTTGATCTGCGTGTATCGCAGCAGAACCCAGGGTGATAGATTGAATTATCCATGCGGCGGTCTCCTTGTGACAGCCTGAGCACAGTTGGCAATAGCGGTCCGCCCCCCCCGCCCCCGGTCCCTGCCCCCCTTCTCCCCGCGCTGGAGACACAGTGGCATTACTGGGTCGTACCTCCGCTTTGGAGCGACGTCCTTCCTCATGTTTTTAAGGGCATTAGATGGGGGTTTACTAAGGCCCAACATAGGGCGCGGACACATATGCTGTCGCTGTTCGTTTCCTTACGGTCCTGGGCTGGCTTCAGCAAATTAGACTTTGGAGCGCATAGATTTTTACCCGCATTTCGGAGTTCTAGTTCGGACGTACAGTGCTTGAACCTGAGTGTCAACATCATCACCCTAACCTCAAACCCTAAACCCTAGATCATTCATCGGGCAAGATGCTGCAGTCTGAAGCCCTGTGATTCTGCCTATTTTGAATGGCTTCTAGGTTTCAGAGAGGGAACCAGGTGGGATACGAAGTCAGTGTTGTCGCGAGCTCTCAAACGATCCACTTGGGAGTCTGAATAGTTGCTGATACTATTCCCGTGCAGTCACTTCATACGTTGATTATCATATACCCCGAAAGTAAGCCTGTTCGAAGCTTTAAAGCCCCGACGTAAAGCCCAAGTAACTTGTCTCTGCCAGGTGGTTCTGGACCTGGTGGTGCCGAGGCACGAACAAAGACATGTCAGGCTAACCCAAAGGGTCCTAGATACTGTCATGGGGAACACTATACCAAACCATGATAATAGCTCCTAATGTGGAAACCCTACAATCGACTGCCGAGTTGGATTCATCCACAGCTCGACAGTTTGCAACGATGCAGGCATTCATGATCGCTGGTGATTTGGGACAGTGCGTGAACTCAGATAAACAAACTCGTCAAGTAATGGTCTTGTTTTCACATTTCGCCACAGTTGCACACGCATGGAGTGAAGTCTTCATGATCCGTGGTCATTCGCCGTATCACAACTTTCAGACGCAGGGTCACTACTACTACTACTACTACTACTACTACTACTACTACTATACTACTACTACTACTACTACTACTACTACTACTACTACTAGTACTGCTACCACTATTACTACTACTACGACTACTA